GTGGCGTATACCCTTCTGTTGACCTTATCTTCGGTCTCAAAATAATTCTCGAAATTTATGTTTAGCATGTCTCAAAATAAACATTACAAATAGAGGACGGCAACCACAACAACAACAACAACCACAAAAAATTATAAATAGAGAGAGGTCAGAGGTTTAATAAGAAGATATCGGTTTAGTAGTTTCATAACATATATTTTTAGCTTTTGTGATTTTTGATTTCTCAAGCAAAAAAACCCAAATGAAATGTCAGTTTGCTAATGCTACGGTAGGAATACGAAATTTTTGATGTTGACTTGACTTATTTAACCATCGGTATGATTTTTTTGTTATGTAGTAATGATTGAATCAATCTCTCCCGTTTCCAACTCAAGTTGTGGAAATTATGGTCGAGAACTCTAGATTTAGGATAACCAACCGGATTGTATGGGCCGAGTCTACTTTTTTTTAAACTAGATACGTGGTCCGACCTCGGTCCAACCAGGTTTTGGGAAATTTTCGATTTATATTATCCAGACCTCGGTCCAACCAGGTTTTGGGAAATTTTTAATTTATATTATCCAAAAATACACAAATTGATTTGTGTCAAATTGTCCTAGACCGGACCAGCAACTCTAAAAACCCAAAAGCTTGTCGGATACTGTGGATCAGTCCAAACACCTCAATTCTTGCGGTTATCATTCATTTTGTCCTAATTCGTCATCTTTATCTATAACTTTGGGTACGCATAATTTTGCAATTTTGCAGAGACAATTCTTTGCTCGGGAATCGATAAAAGAGCTTTTCCAATTTTATAGTATAATCGTTCTTAAAAGAACATGTATTTAACTATTTATATAACCTTTGTCCCCTTTACGTAAATGTATTAGAGTATCACAATCTTCAGTACGACGTGTTTTAGAATATGTGACAAAACCTTGGCGTGCGTTCATCAACAAAGTTGCAGCACCGAACAATCTTAAGATCTCTCTCTCTCTGTCATCACCAAAAAATAGATTCCAACAATGTTTTACTTTTTCATGTTGTTGCATTAGTCTAGTGACGAGTCTCAAGATTGATCTCTACTGTCTTCAACCGAGAAAATGTCGGTAAAAATAAAATAACATGACATCATATTATTTATCCAGGTCTAGATGTTCAGTGATGAAGGAAGATACAGTAGAAGAAGCAGATAGCTATAAAGAAAGCGCAGTTACATAGAGAACGAGGCTGAGAGAGAGAGAGAGCGGGAGAGATCTTACAGACTTGCAGTGAAATCTCATTGCAAGAATTTGTCAATGCTAGATGTGAGTGTGGATTTGGGCACTGCACCGATGATTGCATCCTTCTTCTCGCCGTTGACAAAGATCATGATCGTCGGGATGCTTCTAACATTGTACTGGCTTGGGGTTGAAGGAGAGTCATCGGTGTTTAGTTTGTAGAACTTGACCTTCCCTGTGTACTGTTGTGCTAGTTCATTCACGAGCGGGTCAATCATTTTGCAAGGTCCACACCACGGTGCCCAAAAGTCGACCAGTACCGGCCCGTCTGCCTTGAGAACTAGAGACTCCCAAGTCGAGTCGTTGACTACTGAAACTACTATCATCATTGAACAAAATCAGCAACTTATCAGTTACAATCATGAATAAAAGCAAAATAAAATTAGCTCAGATAGACGGATTATGCTTCATAAGTTTACAAGAGAGACCATTCATCCATCTTTGTTCACATGTGGGTATGTTGCATCAAAACAATATATATGATCTCAATCTAGAAGCGAAAATTTCTCAAAGCATAATGTTGATAATGGAGTTTTTGTGTGATTTCAAAAGCAGTCCAAGTGAAGGATGATGCTTCATCTTCTTCAATCGTGTCAAATGAGTCAAATGTAGCAGAGAGACATCCTTGTTAATCTCACTAAACCTATCTAGTAATATCTTAGACAAGCAATACTATTGTATAGATCCTAAAATCAAGACCTTTCTACTTTATAGCACAAAAATCCCCATTGTTCTCCCATGAGCCAAATAATTCAACACTTTCTTCTCCCAAATGTGTGTGTGATCAAATCAAGTGGATATCTCTGAGTAGGTATCCCACATTTTATAGGTTTATTCTACTTAAAACGTGAAAGAGAAAATGCGTTTTCCTACTAAATACCCCACTGAGAGAAAGAGATCCTAAACTGCAAATTTCTTGAGTTTTCACGCAATCGCCATGAATCGTTCTTCTAACCGAAACCTCATTTTCAGCAGGAATTTTCTCAAAACGTATACTCTCTCCCAAAGAAACTCTTCTTCCAGATTCAGTAATTTGGAACTAATTACAAAAGTTCTTTCAGCAGATTACAAATTACTAAATGCGTACAACAGCATAAAAATTCGAGCATCGTACTTGTAATTTCCACAAAATCAATCAACCAATCAACACGAAATCAGTTCATAAGCACTTCTAAAATCCATCAACTAACACGAATCAAGCCCAGGAAATACCCAGAACGAAAGAAATCAAACCAAAATCGAACAAGGAAGATGTAGCAGAGAGGGCGAGAACATACTATCCGTAGTAGTTTCCTGAGCTTCACAGACGACACCTCTTCGTAGTCGAGAAACCCTAGGATTAATCGAGGTCAACGACGTCGGAGAGTGAGAAAGACGGACTCTCAATCCTCCTGATTCCGGTAACACGGCGAACATCCGCCGAGCAGAGAGAGGAGCTGATGGTGAGGATGCGATTCTCGTCTCTGAACGGAGAGAAACCGGAGGACGAGAGGTACAAGTGAAAGCAGCCATGGGTGAGAGAGAGAGAAGCACACGAGAGATCCTCCTAATCCCAAGTGTAAAATAATATCCAGATAAGAAGAAAAATAAAAAAGATAACGAAACTACGGAAGAGAAAGTGTGGGTGGAAGTAGAAGAAACTGAAGCAGATTTTTTATATGAAAACAAATATTGCTTCTTTAAATTATTTTATTTCCTACTGAAACAAAAAATAAATTATAACTACGGTTGCGAAAAAATCTCGGAAATTATTTGTTCTTTTATTTAATTGATGATAAAATATTTTGAACATATAACAGAAAAACACATCCATTTCCAATAATAACCCTTTACAATACGTATAAAGTAAATTGATGATGTGGGCTAATAATATATAAGCCCGGAAGGCTTTGAAATATACTTTATTGGGCCTTATGTGAAAACATACTCGACAAATCTCAAGTGAAAACCTTGCGTTTACTACTCCGTTGGATTGGCCTAACTCATAATAAAACATGTTACGACTATCTCAAAGTATCGAACTAACTCACTACTCCATGCATGACCAAAGAAACTAGCAAGATGATGCTTTAAAACATGAAAATATATTAAGAATCATTAATTTTGAAAATTTGGTAACGGTTCAAATACAGTGGTTTAGTTTAAGCCCTGAAGTTTTATGCTGCAAGGTTCAAGCTTTGAATTTGTTAGTTAACGCATCAATCTTCTTATTAGGCCCGAAAACACTTTAGATTTCCTTGCAAATATAATACAGAACATGTAAGCCAAATTATATATAGTTTACATGCGAAAAAATCAGCATGATGCATGTCATCATCGATCGCTAATTTGCTTGCTGTACGTAGTAGACTCAACCAGCCAATTAGCTTGTTTCAAAATGAACTCCTAACATGTTTACAAAGGTGTGGTTTTAACTCTTAGCACGTCTTGACTTTTTGTGCTTCAGTTATCAATTGGCACTCTTAATCCGCAGACATTTTGTATATACACTAATTGTGTTAAGACGCTTGCATGCTCTTCGTATATTTGTATCCTCTCTTTCTTTTCTTTTTTATGTTAAAGATATATTTGTATCCACTCACTCGTCGTGACAGTTAAATCTTCATAGTTGGTAGACATTTAATGGTTTAAGCAAAAATTTAGTGAAAACACACACATAATTAAAGCCAGTTTCTGTAACTAGCTAGGTTCCATTTCTAAACGTAGGGGAATTTCTATTTTTTTTTCTTTTTTTAATATGAAAACACTTCAAGACACAATTATCTTTCGATCAAATTAAAATCGTATCAAAACTCTTTTTTGTTTGTTTTTCAGTGACTTTTCCCATTACAAGCAATGTTAGACTGATAGTTGCCTAGTTGGGAGGAACCAAGAATCATATTAAAATGTGAAAATAAAAATTTGTTGTATATTTTAAAAACGACTTTATGTACATATAATATATATAATTATATATATAGGACATAGACGTAGATATAAGTACGTATATTCGATTTTGTATAAAATGTCTACTTCAATACGAACCCACCAGACAAAAAAACATCAAAGATTCACCTAAGTTTCAGCGGCTCACTGAAAAACAAAAAAAAACAGATATTTTTTATTCCGTGATATCCTTATTCAAAAAAAAATACTGTTTTCTATAATTATATATATTTCACATTGACACATTCTATTGTAACATATATGGTTTGTATCAACTTTTTGACATCGAACAACTGTTATGTTGCCACAATTGATTTAGCTGAAAATATATATATTAACCCCTATAAATTATATTACAGACGAAAAAAGCATCAGAAAACATATAGGGATATATAACTTTGAAAATTCTCTTTGTTTTGGTAAAGCAGTTTGAAATCAACATTAATTTTCGTAGTTGGTTAGTTTTTCAAATAATATATGCAGTATAATTTACTATGCTGTCAACTTCGGTTTGAAAAATCCAGTACTATTTTGTTTTTGTTTAAATCTATATATACTTACAAACCAAAGAGAAAATAAATCAATTACTATTTTATTGATTCCCACGTCAGATCATTCTATAAAAGAATTAAATAATTTCCAGGTTTGTTTTACGGCTTCGCGTGTCACACAAAGAGCGAAGAGAAAGATAAGTCGTGTGTTGAAAATCGGACGATGACGGTGAATGTAGTTGAAGAATCTCACCTAACAACACATAACACTTAACTAATATATATATATATACAACACATAACACTTAACTAATATATATATATTGTTGATTACCAAATAGTTTATTTCATGAGCTCATGTGTTTGTGTGTCTTCTCTTCATGAGTATATTTTTGTTGGTCTTTTTTTCTTCTGTTCCATAAACAAAAATAGAAAACTAAATTGTGATTGAACGATCGATGGTGAAGTTGACAAAGAGAATAGGAGGGCTTGTGCTGCGATTAGCCGCGTTTGCGGCGGCTCTTGCCGCTTTGATCGTTATGGTCACTAGCCGAGAGAGAGCTTCCTTCTTCGCCATTTCTCTTGAAGCTAAGTACACCGACATGGCTGCGTTTAAGTATGTACAAGTTTACATATATAACTCCTATACAATTTTCCTTTTTACTTTGAGTTTGTGTGTTAAATCCTTAAATGCGTTACATATATACATGTAAGTTATTCATCCTATGAGTTATGTGAACATGTAATAAATGGCTAAAACATGTGTTTGTAGGTATTTTGTGATCGCAAACGCCGTCGTGAGTGTTTATAGCTTTCTAGTTTTGTTTCTTCCAAAGGAGAGTTTGCTGTGGAAGTTCGTTGTCGTCTTGGATTTGGTAACATTTCGCATATCAACAACATTATTTATTTGCATCAGAATTGCAATCAAATTAATATTTATGTGGATAAACTTAATACAATTCTTTTTGCAGCTTTTTTAATATTAGTTTTCTCGTTTTGATCCATTTGACTGATGCAATTGAAAGACTAATTAAAAATTTATATACTCGAAAGTTCAAAATTTCAGTTCTATGAATAAAACGTATACATAATTAATTTTTTGATATTAAAAGAACACGCATTTTTTAATCGTTTGTTAGGTGAGGATTAGCTCAAAATATAATGTATTTTAAATTGTTATACTAATTTTTGTCAATAACCGGTGACGATTCGAAGGTTATGACAATGCTGCTGACGTCAAGTTTATCGGCGGCATTAGCGGTGGCGCAAGTGGGAAAGAAAGGAAACGCAAACGCAGGTTGGCTTCCGATTTGTGGCCAAGTTCCAAAGTTCTGCGATCAGATAACCGGAGCTCTAATCGCCGGTTTCGTAGCACTCGTCCTCTACGTCTTCTTACTCTTATACTCTCTCCACTACGTCCTTGATCCTTTTCTTCTCCAGAAATCTTGAATCTAACCTTTTTTTTTGTTTATTTTCTTTTCAATATCAGTTAATACAAGTATCTCGTATATAGACACACAAACACAAACATAGCTCAATATCGATCTAAGAGGTAGTTTGTGTATTGTGTTTATATGTTTTCTTTTCATATTTCATAGTATTATTTAAAACCTCTTTTCATATGGATTATACATGAAAACAGATAAGTAATTAACCGGCCTGTGTTGAATGAGAACATTCCTAGTAACAAAAAGGGATAAGACAAATATTGTTCCCATCATCTGCAAATCAACGTTGATGTTGCTCTACATCATTCGAAAATCAGTTTTTAAATGCTTGGTTGAAGCACGTGCGACCATTTGTTGTGTCAGAACAAAAGGAAGATTCCATCTTGTGCATGGTTATGATCCCACATGCCTTTTCTTTAACTAGTCCCAGAAGAGCATACTCATAAATTAATCAAATTTTAATATATTTTGTGTTGAACAGTGGATGACTAGATTCACTTGCCTGGTCGTCGGTTGACTTGTCAGGATCCAGGATAGATAAATAAAAACAAATACACTGTTATGGAGCCAAATTAATTTCTAGAAACTCCTCAATGTAATTTGTTTAGTTGATTATGCCATAGTAGTAAGAGATGATAAAAAAAAACGTTTGTTTATCTTTTGAATACCACATTTTGTTTCCCTTAGCTGTAAATGTCATTCTAGACATGATCAACTAACATTTTACCCTTTAAAAGTTTTTTGAAAAGGAAACATTCTACCCTTTTGATGAAAATTATTATAAAATGGAAAAGGGTTTTTATTAGAAAAAGAGAGGGATGTGGGAAAATACGACCATGTATATTCGAATCAAATTTAAAAGCAAATACAATTAACCTTTAGGTTCTTGTATTAGCGTCCAAAGCGGCCGCACTCGCACCGTTCAGCGACTTTTCCTGTTTTTGAAATAAACGGTCCACTTGTGCTTTTCCTTTTATCCCACTTGTATTTTGTTAGTTTTAAAGTTCACTTGTATTTGATAATAAGCTAGTAACAATATTGCTTGACCCAATATTATTATATGACTATATGGTACGAGTTTCGTGGATTGTTTACATGGTACCATCCTCGAGGTTAGTCAAACCCCAAGATAAATAATTCAATTAACTTGAGTATTTTCGAAACTTTTAATTTCGGAATTGGAATTAGAAAGGGACGGTTTTTGTATATGATAAATATCTTAGCCGTGTATTAATAAATGGACAGTTTTTTTACCTTTTACGTGTAATTGTGGAGTAACCGGGTGATTACGCAATCGTTACATAATTAGTTAATTACATATCTCTTGATTGATCATCACACAATTTTACACAAGTACAAGTCTTTGTAAGATAACTCTGTGACTGCAAATTTTGTGACAAAAAAAGGACAGTCGATATTTGGCGGTATTGTAACTATTGTTATACTCGAGATCTTGGATCGGCAAGCCTAAAACCAAATTTAAAGAAAGTGTTACAACAACACAACAAATTATTTTATTTACTTCAGAATAACAAAAGTAATTTCATGATTCTTAACATCTTTTACCATTAGAAATTGATTTTAGTGGATGGATAATTTGTTTTAGTTATTTATGGATTTATATTATGAACGAAAATTTAAACGTCTAACGATCAATAAATTTAGCATTATTCTATTAATAAACATTCTAATCTGTAAAGCACTAACCCAATTTATAGTGTACAAAAAATGAAAACATTTCTAGAAGGTCAGTTATTCGGATCCAAGATATGAATTATTTCAGATTTCCAATACATTAATGTGTTTTGTTTATGCTGACTTTCTTTTCTTTTAACTTAAATGGTAAGGAAACCAGAGAGATTGAAGAAGATACAAAGAAGCTTCATAAGAATTTAAAACTTCAGATGTATTTCTCTAAAATCAACATTTACTAAGTAAAATAACATAAGAATTTGATAAATGTTCTGTCCAATTTGGATAATAATCTGGAAATTTTCTTAATATTCAAAGTTTGATGCCCAAACTTAACGATTAACATAAAAAATAAGTTCCCCGTTCCATACCATAAAAAACTTTATTTGATAATAGTATTGATTCGTTGTATAAAAGCGGTTTAAAGGAATTTGAATTATATTAGAAGAAAATAAATACAAATTAAAGCCAGAAAGAAAAAGAAGAAAGGAAAAACTGAAACGCGGAAAGGAAATCGTCTCGTTCGTCGTTGTCGCCGTCTTGAGCTAAAAAGAATTATCGCACAGCTTCAATTCTCCATTGTTTGATTCAGTCAAGACTTTTCTCCGAGAAATCTCCAAGATCTACCACATGCTACTATGAGCCTCCGCCACCGCACCGTCCCGTCGCAAACTGGGCGGCCGCTGGCGGCGGATGCTGCCGGAATCGAAGAGGAGCCCTACAATATCATCCCTGTTAACAATCTCCTCGCCGACCATCCTTCTCTCCGATTTCCAGAGGTCCGTGCAGCCGCTGCCGCTCTTAAAACCGTCGGAGACCTTCGCCGTCCGCCCTACGTTCAATGGCGCCCTCACTACGATCTCCTCGACTGGCTCTCCTCGTTCTTCTGTTTCCAGAAGGACAACGTCCGTAACCAGCGCGAGCACATGGTGCTTCATCTCGCGAATGCTCAGATGCGTCTCACGCCGCCGCCGGATAACATCGACTCTCTCGATTCCGCAGTTGTCCGTCGGTTTCGGCGGAAGCTCCTCGGTAACTACTCCAGCTGGTGCTCGTATTTAGGTAAAAAATCGAACATATGGATCTCAGATCGGAACCCTGATTCGAGGCGGGAGCTTCTCTATGTTGGGCTCTATCTCCTCATTTGGGGGGAAGCGGCGAACCTTCGTTTCATGCCTGAATGCATCTGTTACATCTTCCATAACATGGCCTCGGAGCTCAACAAAATCCTAGAGGATTGCCTCGATGAGAACACCGGTCAACCCTATCTGCCTTCTCTGAATGGCGAAAACGCTTTCCTAAACGGCGTCGTAAAACCCATCTACGATACGATCCAAGCTGAGATTGACGAGAGCAAGAACGGGACAGAGCCGCATTGCAAGTGGAGGAACTACGACGATATCAACGAGTACTTCTGGACGGATAGATGCTTCAGCAAATTGAAATGGCCGCTCGATCTGGGAAGCAATTTCTTTAAGAGTAGAGGCAAAAGCGTCGGGAAAACAGGTTTCGTGGAGCGCAGGACGTTCTTCTACCTCTACCGGAGCTTTGATCGGCTTTGGATAATGCTTGCCTTGTTCCTTCAAGCCGCCATTATAGTCGCTTGGGAGGAGAAGCCGGGCGATGCGAAGGTGACAGTGCAGCTGTGGAATGCCTTGAAGTCAAGAGATGTTCAGGTGAGACTTTTGACAGTGTTTTTGACCTGGAGTGGTATGCGACTCCTGCAGGCTGTGCTGGACGCTGTTTCACAAAAGCCCCTAATCTCCAGAGAGACCAAACGGCACTTTTTCAGAATGTTGATGAAGGTTATAGCTGCCGTAGTCTGGATCATAGCTTTCACAGTCCTCTACACGAACATCTGGAAGCAGAAGAGGCAAGACAGGCAGTGGTCCAAAGCCGCGACGACCAAGATCTACCAATTTCTTTACGCTGTGGTGGCCTTCTTGGTGCCTGAAATTCTGGCTTTGGCTCTGTTTATACTCCCATGGATAAGAAACTTTCTGGAAGAGAGCAATTGGAAAATATTCTTTGCTTTGACTTGGTGGTTTCAGGGTAAAAGCTTTGTGGGTCGAGGTTTGAGAGAGGGTTTGGTGGACAACATTAAGTACTCGACTTTCTGGATATTTGTCCTAGCAACAAAGTTCACATTTAGCTACTTCCTGCAGGTTAAGCCAATGATTAAACCCTCGAAGCTGCTATGGGACTTAAAGGAGGTAGAATATGAGTGGCATCAGTTTTTTGGAGACAGCAATAGGTTTTCTGTCGCATTACTATGGTTGCCAGTTGTGTTGATATACCTGATGGATATCCAAATTTGGTACGCAATCTATTCTTCGATTGTTGGTGCTGTTGTTGGGCTGTTTGATCATCTGGGGGAGATCAGGGACATGGGACAGCTTAGGCTGAGGTTTCAATTCTTTGCTAGCGCTATTCAGTTCAACCTAATGCCCGAGGAACAACTCCTGAATGCTAGAGGCTTTGGTAACAAGTTTAAGGACGGCATTCATAGGTCAGTCTGTGGAACCATAATACTGATATTCCTATATAATCTACTGTACAATCTATGATATTTTGATGTTGCTAATGCAGATTCTCTGCTTTTAAGTCAACTTTTCAATATTGTAATAACCTTGAGTTTGTGTACTGTATGCAGATTGAAACTAAGGTATGGATTTGGGCGGCCGTTTAAGAAACTCGAGTCTAATCAGGTCGAGGCCAACAAGTTTGCGTTGATCTGGAATGAGATAATCTTAGCTTTCAGAGAAGAGGATATAGTTTCTGATCGAGAAGTAGAGCTACTGGAGCTGCCAAAGAATTCCTGGAATGTGTCGGTTATTCGCTGGCCGTGTTTCTTGTTGTGCAATGAGCTTTTGCTTGCACTGAGCCAGGCGAAAGAGCTGGTTGACGCGCCTGATAAATGGCTGTGGCACAAGATATGCAAGAATGAGTACAGGCGTTGTGCTGTAGTTGAGGCATATGACAGCATCAGATATCTCTTGCTCGCAATCATCAAACTTGACACTGAAGAACATTCCATAGTCACGGTTTTCTTTCAAATGATTGATCTTTCTATTCAGGCAGAGAATTTCACCAAGACCTTTAAAGTGGACCTTCTGCCAAAGATTTACGAAACACTGCAAAAGTTGGTGGGGCTGTTGAATGATGAGAAAGCGGATATTGGGCGGGTTGTGAATGTGCTGCAGTCTCTTTATGAAATATTGACACGGCAGTTCTTTATGGAAAAGAAGACAACTGAACAGCTATCTGGTGAGGGGTTGACTCTTCGTGACCCCTCCTCCAAGTTACTGTTTCAGAATGCTATTAGGCTTCCTGATGCAAGCAATGAAGACTTCTACCGGCAGGTTAGGCGTTTACACACGATTCTCACTTCTAGGGACTCTATGCACAGCGTCCCTGTGAACCTAGAGGCGAGACGGCGGATTGCTTTCTTCAGCAATTCGCTTTTCATGAACATGCCTCATGCACCTCAGGTTGAGAAAATGATGGCATTCAGTGTTCTTACACCATACTACAGCGAGGAAGTTGTATACAGCAAAGAACATCTCCGAAATGAGACTGAGGATGGGATTTCAACCCTGTATTACCTGCAGACGATTTATGCTGACGAATGGAAGAATTTCAAGGAGCGGATGCATAGGGAAGGAATAAAGACAGATGGTGAGTTGTGGACAACCAAGTTGAGAGACCTCAGGCTTTGGGCTTCCTACAGAGGTCAGACTTTGGCTCGTACAGTTCGAGGAATGATGTACTACTACCGGGCTCTAAAGATGCTCGCTTTTCTTGACTCTGCGTCTGAAATGGACATTCGGGAGGATGCTCAGGAGCTTGGTTCAGTGAGGAGTTCGCGGGGAGAGCATGGTGATGGGGTTGACTCTGGAAATGATCGATCTTCCCTAAGCAGAGCAAGTAGTTCCGTGAGTATGCTGTATAAAGGCCATGAGTATGGGACTGCATTGATGAAATTCACATATGTTGTGGCGTGCCAGATCTATGGGTCTCAAAGAGCAAAGAAGGAGCCTCAGGCAGAGGAAATTCTGTATCTGATGAAGCAGAATGAAGCCCTACGTATTGCATATGTGGATGAGGTGCCTGCGGGCAGGGGAGAGACTGATTATTATTCCGTTCTGGTGAAATACAATCACCGGTTGGAGAAGGAAGAGGAGATATTCCGTGTGAAGCTACCTGGTCCGGTGAAGCTGGGCGAGGGAAAGCCGGAGAACCAGAATCATGCAATGATCTTTACCCGTGGTGATGCTGTTCAGACCATAGATATGAACCAGGATAGTTATTTCGAGGAGGCTCTCAAGATGAGAAATTTGCTTCAGGAGTACAAACATTATCATGGGATCAGAAAACCAACAATTCTTGGTGTCAGAGAGCATATCTTCACGGGCTCAGTCTCGTCGCTCGCCTGGTTCATGTCTGCTCAGGAGACAAGTTTTGTCACTCTTGGCCAGCGTGTTCTCGCAAACCCGTTGAAGGTCAGAATGCATTATGGCCACCCTGATGTGTTTGACAGATTCTGGTTCTTGAGTCGAGGTGGCATCAGCAAGGCTTCCAGAGTCATAAATATCAGTGAAGACATCTTCGCCGGGTTTAATTGCACATTGCGGGGCGGAAATGTCACCCACCACGAGTACATTCAGGTTGGGAAAGGCTCGTTATTTGGATATTTCTAACTAATTTATATACTGCTACAACGATCCCATGATTCTACTTTTGTTATAACCGTGCAACTTAACGTTTTTTATATTCAGGTTGGGAAGGGTCGTGATGTTGGATTGAATCAGATATCAATGTTTGAGGCTAAGGTAGCCAGTGGGAACGGAGAGCAGGTTCTTAGCCGAGATGTGTACCGGCTCGGCCATAGACTCGATTTCTTCAGAATGTTGTCGTTCTTCTACACAACGGTCGGGTTTTTCTTCAACACGATGATGGTCATCCTTACCGTTTACGCTTTCCTCTGGGGCCGGGTATATCTGGCTCTGAGCGGGGTTGAGAAGTCCGCTCTAGCAGACAGTACGGACAGTAACGCAGCGCTTGGGGTGATCTTGAACCAGCAGTTCATCATTCAGCTTGGTCTGTTCACAGCCCTGCCAATGATTGTTGAATGGTCTCTGGAGGAGGGTTTCCTTCTCGCGATATGGAATTTCATTCGAATGCAGATTCAGCTTTCATCGGTCTTCTACACATTCTCAATGGGGACCAGAGCTCACTATTTTGGCCGAACGATTCTCCATGGTGGAGCAAAGTACAGAGCCACTGGACGTGGATTTGTTGTGGAGCACAAGGGATTCACTGAGAACTACCGACTATATGCCCGCAGTCACTTTGTGAAGGCCATCGAGCTTGGGCTGATCCTCATAGTCTATGCTTCGCACAGTCCGATCGCCAAAGACTCGTTGATCTACATAGCCATGACTATCACCAGCTGGTTCCTCGTGATCTCATGGATAATGGCCCCTTTTGTGTTCAACCCGTCAGGTTTCGACTGGCTTAAGACGGTCTATGACTTTGAAGATTTCATGAACTGGATCTGGTATCAAGGAAGAATCTCAACGAAATCGGAACAGAGCTGGGAAATTTGGTGGTACGAGGAACAGAGCCACCTGAGAAACACCGGGTTGCCAGGACAAATTGTGGAGATAATCTTGGACCTGCGGTTTTTCTTCTTCCAGTACGGGATTGTATACCAGCTCAAAATCGCAAACGGATCAACCAGCATCTTCGTCTACGCGCTCTCATGGATTTACATATTTGCAGTGTTTGCGATCTTCATGGTAATCCAATACGCCCGTGACAAGTACTCCGCAAGGAATCACATACGGTACAGGCTTGTCCAGTTCCTCCTGATCGTGCTTGGTATCCTGGTGATTGTTGCCCTGCTCGAGTTCACTCACTTCAGCTTCGTTGACATCTTCACGAGTCTTCTTGCATTCATCCCAACGGGCTGGGGAGTTCTGCTGATCGCACAGGTTTTGAAGCCTGTGCTGAAGAGATTCAGGATTCTCTGGAAAGCTGTTGTCTCTGTTGCCCGCATATACGACATACTGTTCGGTATACTCATCATGGTTCCTGTAGCGTTCTTGTCGTGGATGCCTGGGTTTCAATCGATGCAAACGAGGATCTTATTCAATGAAGCTTTTAGCAGAGGACTTCGCATCATGCAGATTGTCACCGGGAAGAAATCAAAAGGCGATGTCTAAGTTTAACAAAAAAATACGGTATAGCTCCGTTTTTTTTGTTTTTTCTCTTAACATCGTATGTTCTGTTTTTGCTTGAAATCCTAAATTCCAACAACACCAATGCAAAGCTTTGTTTTTTAACTTGTGTAGGTGTTTTAAAGTAAATGGTAGCTTAAAGTTGTTGGTTTTTGCGGCGATGGAATCAGAAGTTGAAGGTTAGCTTTTCCTTATACATCTAAAAACCTAAACTTTGGTTTCCTGTCTAGAAGAAAAACTCAAATACCCAATGATTCGTCTGTTTTGTTAAAGCAGGTTTTTGGAAGAGCTTGGCTGAGGAATTGGAAGTTGGTTTATTCGGTTAGATCGGTTAGTGGGGATATATTATTACCCGAATCTTGTATGATTTTTTGTCTGAACAGTACGTCATTTTGTGTAGTAGGACTTTTGTGTAATTTGTTCTCTTTCTCTCATTGTAGAGCTTTAGAGCATTTTAGTTTATTTAATCTTTGCCTTTTAGTAATGTCATTTTGCAGAGCTTTCTTCTTCTTTTAAATGCTTATCCATATCCACTTCTTTGTCTATTATCTGTTTCTGTTTGTGATTTTCCAGGAATTTTTATTCTTTAGTCATTAACCGTTTTCATTTATATAGTGGACCACACAACACTACTCTGTCGGTTTTGAGTTTTGACTATTCTACAACTTGGATTCCTAGGAAATCTTCTCTCTTTTTTTTAAATAAGATGTTTTAGATTTTTTTTTTTTTTTTTTAAAAAATTGATGTTTTAGATTTTAAATAAGTAGTATTAATATATTATTAAAAAGTAAAAAAGTAGTTAAAAAATAAAATAAAAAATAATTATTAAAGTATATATTAATATGTGTGAAAATATTAAAATATCATTTAAAAAAAACGGAAAGAGTATAAACAAAAAATGTTGTGAACTAGGGAAAAAAAACAAAAGTTACAAATTGAGAGCAAATGAAAGCCACGTGTTAAGAATGCGTCAAGGGCCCTACGTGTTTGTCTGCAAGATTTATGATTTATCATTTAACTAAGCTACGGACTGATCTAACTGGAAAAATTGTTAAGTTTTTTATTACTAAATTCAACAACTACTACTGGGCCATCATCATCTTCGTCGTCTTCTATCTCCACTCTTCTGATCTTATTCATTAAATTGAAATTTTCTAGAGTCAATCACTAATTGGAAGCTACTTGGTTTCTTTGGCCTTCGCTTCGGTTCGATCCAGATTTTGTCCTCGCCGGATAGAGAAACCGTGAAATACAAAAAAAAAATGGAAGATCCTTTGATTGGTAGAGAGAGTCGTGGTGGTGGTACGGATCGGATCGTTCGTCGATCAGAAGCTATCACGCATGGTACGACGTTTCAGAAAGCTGCTGCACTCGTCGATCTGGTTCTCTTTCTCTTACGCCCTAATTTCATTCGTTTTCCTCTGATTGGTTTTTATTCAAAAAGGTTTCTTCTGTATCTGGATGCTGAAGTCAATGTAATCGTTACGCTGAGAAGTTAAACCGTTAATTTTGAATAATCCATACTATTTGTTTTGGTCACAAAAGAAATTGTTCCACCTGTTTAATCATTGTTCTTACGAAATTAGCATAGCACTGTTCGGTTGAAATTGGGAATTGGAATTTCCGACGTTTCACTGACTCTGAGGTTTTAAATCGGAAGCGTTTGTTTTTCTTAGAGAGATGATGATTCTTTGTCTTTTTGCTGATTTTTGGAAACCTTTCTACTTTTGTGTCAAAAAGATATTTGTGGATTGACTCTGATATGTATTTGGTTTTGTAGGCTGAAGATGGTATTGGTCTTCCTGAGCAAATACTTGATCAGTCAAGCTTTGGAGAGTCTGCAAAGTACTACTTCATCTTCACACGATTGGATCTGATCTGGTCACTCAACTATTTCGCTCTGATTTTGATAAACTTCTTTGAGGTTAGGACTTATTATTAATACATGTCTTTGGTATACACCAGCCTTGCGAAAACCCCTTTTAAGAAAATCAAAACTGTTATCGTGTAACACTCTTGCTTGCCTGTCTTTTGCAGCAACCATTGTGGTGTGAAAATAAACCTACACCGTCTTGCAAAGACAGAGACTACTATTACCTTGGGGAGTTACCTTACTTGACCAATGCAGAATCCATTATCTATGAGGTATAGTAGTGAACTTATAGTCTTGTTGGCTTTTCATTTTCGCTATCTATAGATGCATAGATTTAGAGTAAATGGGCACACGAGGTACATATGCATCCACTTGAAAGTTAAAAACTTACATTGCCTTATGTTTATTTTCTTTAAAGCTTGAGATTCGTAGGATAATTTTTCAAGATTAGTTTATCTCGTTTAGTTAGTTGTTAAGAACTTGATATCAACATAATAAGGATTGGCCAAGATCCTTTCTCATTTTGCTGAAATTATAATACTTTGTACTGATTAAATAGGTGATTACGCTGGCTATACTCCTTGTACATACTTTCTCTCCAATATCCTATGAAGGGTCTCGAATCTTTTGGACAAGTCGTCTGAATCTAGTGAAGGTACATCCTTATGAACCCCTTCGCAGTTTTGTACTTCTTTTTGTTACAACTTGGACAGAAAAGTAAGTAATTGGTTTTTCCTTTTTTCCCTTCTGATAATTTGTCTTCTTCTTGATTCCAGGTTGCTTGCGTGGTAATTTTGTTTGTTGATGTGGTGGTTGACATTCTATATCTGTCTCCGCTGGCTTTTGATTTTCTTCCTTTTAGAATCGCGCCTTACGTCAGAGTTATCATATTCATCCTCAGCATAAGGTCTTTTCCATCAACCTACTGTACATGGTTCATATGTTTCTATATCTGTAGAAAAAGAATGATTACATCATGATCATGTCATGTGTGTTAGATGTGCACGTGTGATTGCTTCACCTACTCTGCCTCCTAGTAAATTATTAAATACAGCTCTGAGCATTCCCTAAAATCATGTTTCCGTAAATGACTGTACAGGGAACTTCGAGACAGCCTTGTCCTTCTGTCTGGAATGCTTGGCACATATTTGAATATCTTGGTCAGTGGCCTTTCCAATCATTTTTTACTTTCAGATAGGTGATGAACTCATATTGATTGTCATCAAATGCTTAACTTCTTGAACATTTTTCACAGGCTCTATGGATGTTGTTCCTTCTGTTTGCCAGTTGGATTGCCTTTGTTATGTTTGAAGACACGCAGCAAGGCCTCACGCTCTTCAACTCTTACGGTGCGACTCTTTATCAGATGTTTATTTTGTTCACAACATCCAACAATCCTGATGTCTGGATTCCTGCATACAAGTAAGTATTAGGTGAAAGTCCATTTGTGTCAGAGTTTGCTTGCGTTGAGTTGCATCCATGAATATGGAGGACTAATTTATTCTGTTTTGTAAGGTCTTCTCGCTGGTCGTCGTTGTTCTTCGTGCTCTACGTGCTAATTGGCGTCTACTTTGTCACGAACTTGATTCTTGCCGTTGTTTATGACAGTTTCAAAGAGCAGGTTTATTAAAATGTTGATGTCTATATGTTTGCTTATGTCAACATTAAAATCGAAAGTACTAACATATTTCCACTCTGTGTGTCATATCTGTTACTTTACTAGCTCGCAAAGCAAGTATCTGGAATGGATCGAATGAAGAAAAGAATGTTGGAGAAAGCCTTTGGTCTTATAGATACAGACGTAAGTTCATTCATGCATAATGATTAGATCTCTCTTAGAGATATACAGGGAAGTTTCCTGTTAGTTACTACATAGCTGAGCATATGTGTTTTCGTCGTTCGCTAAATTCATGTTTTTAACAGAAAACCGGGGTGATTGATAAGGAGCAATGCATCAAGCTCTTTGAACAGTTGACTAATTACAGGTATGTTTCTATGATCTTTTGTATTTTTCCATGTACTGAAAGAACTATATGCAGGAATTTTATACGTGTTCATGGTCTCTTCCTTTTTAATTTGTGACAATGCGTTCATTGTCCGTATATTCAGGACTTTGCCGAAGATATCAAAAGAAGAATTCGGATTGATATTTGATGAGCTTGACGATACTCGTGACTTTAAGGTAGAAACCAGTGAGGAAACTCTTAGGTGGCACAGATGATACACCTTAAAGATTAATATTCACATAAACTTTTTTGTTTCCTTTTGATTAGATCAACAAGGATGAGTTCGCTGATCTCTGCCAGGCGATTGCTCTAAGATTCCAAAAGGAGGAAGTAGTAAGTCCACATATACTTTATTTTCCTTTACTTTCGGAATTTAGCTCCACCATATGTTATGATAGTGACCCTCTGTGTTTTTATTGCAGCCATCTCTCTTCGAAAATTTCCCACAAATTTACCATTCGGCCTTATCACAACAACTGAGAGCCTTTGTCCGAAGCCCAAACTTTGGCTACGCTATTTCTTTCATCCTCATTCTGAATTTCATCGCTGTCGTTGTTGAAACAACGGTATATCTTGTCCCCCATAAAGTGTATTTCCTTGACAATGTAATTCCTAAGTTTTTCACCAGCCATAATTGGTTTTTGTGTGCAGCTTGATATCGAAGAAAGCTCGGCTCAGAAGCCTTGGCAGGTTGCGGAGTTTGTCTTTGGTAAGAACCTGAATAGGTTTCCCATAACCTTCTTCTCCACTTTTATCTTTTCTTTGATTTGATGCTTTGAGAAGTGTACAATCTATGGTTTGTTACTTCCAACTTGATAGAGGTACTTTGGTAAAAAAATATTTTGGTCAATATTTACACTCAGAAAGGACCTTTTTCGGATTAATCTTGAGATTGTAACTGCCAACTTTTATTGATCGTAATTTTTGTTCTTTGAATGTCTTAACAGGTTGGATATATGTGATGGAGATGGCTCTTAAAATCTATTCCTATGGATTCGAGAATTATTGGAGAGATGGGCAAAACCGGTTTGATTTTATTATCACATGGGTCATAGGTAAACCTCTTGAAGAAGCATTTTCATTTTTTGTTTAGCCGATTGAGTGATTTTGATGGCAATGCTATAATTCATAATCTTTGTATCCGCAGTTATTGGGGAAACGGCTACATTCATAACTCCAGACGAGAACACTTTCTTCTCAAACGGAGAATGGTGAGGAATAACTATGACCTGTTTGTTACAACGGTTCTCTTCTGTACAAAATCCTGACTCTGTTTATCTTCCGTCATTGTCACTGATAGGATCCGGTACCTTCTCCTTGCAAGAATGTTAAGACTGATAAGGCTTCTCATGCACGTCCAGCGATACAGAGCATTTATTGCCACGTTCATAACTCTTATTCCAAGTTTGATGCCATATTTAGGCACCATTTTCTGCGTGCTGTGTATCTACTGCTCTATTGGCGTACAGGTAAATCAGACCACTAAGTTTTTTTTTCTGAAAATTGCATGCTTACATATGTCGAAGCCTTGAAACTTCTCTTCGTTTTTGCTTGTACAAAGCCTCTTCCTCTGATTGTTTTATGCAACTACTGAACAGCCACTTTCATGTGTTTTTCATGTCTTCTTTCACAGACTCTATTCTCATACCAGAAATAAATCTTTCTTCGTTTCATATTTAATAGGTCTTTGGTGGGCTTGTGAATGCTGGGAACAAACAACTCTTCAAAACCGAGTTGGCTGAGGAGGAGTATCCTTTTTGGCTTTATGAAAAACATTTGAATGCACTCAACACGAGTCTTACTTAGTACATTTGTTCTGTTCCTGTGGTTGCTACTTGCTAGTGAGTCTTTGTTGTTAGGAAAAACATGATCGTTTCTTGACTAGAGAAACTCAGCTACCTATTGTTCAACTTCAATGACTATCCCAATGGAATGGTCACACTCTTCAATCTGCTAGTTATGGGTAACTGGCAAGTCTGGATGGAGGTAACATCACTCTGTTATTCCCAATTCTAGACTCATTATAGTTTCCAACAAGAAACATTGATAGATGTGACTATAAACAGCTTCCTTCGTAAAGCCAATCACAATGGTGCAAAGATATCTAACTACTCAAAAATGTTGTTTTCTTCAGAGCTACAAAGATTTGACAGGGACGTGGTGGAGCATTACGTACTTCGTCAGCTTCTACATCATCACTGTTTTACTTCTGTTGAATTTGGTGAGTTTCACTGACACCATATTGGTCGTTCGTGATTGTTGTTGTAAGAAAACCCAACTTCGCTTCTTAGATCGACTAACCTGTGCTCTTTGTTTTGTTTCAGATTGTTGCCTTTGTCTTGGAGGCGTTCTTTACTGAGCTGGATCTTGAAGAAGAAGAAAAATGCCAAGGACAGGTTAGTTATTGCTCTATTTTCGTCTTCGTTTCGCCGTAAAACTTACTTCCTCTTTGATTCATGTGATCTCTCCTTGGTCATTAACTGGACGTTTTCATCTGATTGTTATTGTTGCAGGATTCTCAAGAAAGAAGAAACCGGCGTCGATCTGCAGGGTAAGTAGAGATATCAAATCTTGGTTTTTTACAGTTTACAGAAGACTCAAAATTCTGAAGCTTTTAAATGTTGTTGTGAAATTGTTAAAAGGTCGAAGTCTCGGAGTCAAAGAGTTGATACACTTCTTCATCACATGTTGGGTGATGAACTCAGCAAACCAGAGTGTTCTACTACTACTAATACATAAAGAGCTCGTTGAAAAAGGTTTTTTACATTTCTTCATATTTTTTTCTTGTGAATCTTGGAAGCGTTCTTGATTCTATGTGGAGAGATCGATAGAATCTAAAAGGTAAACAAACTACATTTTGCTTGTTTGTTTGTTGAAGATGTGAAAATATAACGGTTGTGTTTGTATGGTTTTGTGCCTTCTCTGTAATGACAATCTGATTACTATCGATTTATTTGACCATACAGTATTTTGTAATGTTTATTGTTTATTGACTTTGATTTTTTTTAATTTTTTTTTATATTTTACTGAAACAATCCCAAAGAAGTAGAAATTGGAGAAGAAGAACACTGAAAAAAAACAATCAAACAAAATAAAAAAGCTCCAAATAATTTTCCTCGTTGATTTACTATTTAGCTTGTTGTAATTGGATGTTTCGAGTGAAAAGTTCAAGGGCCCAAGTAAGTATATCTAAATTAATATAACAGATAAAGTCATAAAACTATATTTAAAAAAAAAAAAAAATCGGCTTAGGCGAAATCTAGGGTTTCTGCTTCTCCCAATTCATGGCTTCCGCATCAAGCAAGACAGAGGCCGAGACGGCAGAGATCGCTTCCACGGCGGAGCCCATAGAGACAACCACTGACGAATCTGATGTTTCGATCTCTCTGAACGAGGACAAATCCGACTCAAATCCGGAGGAAGATGATTCCTCCGATGAAAGCGACGGAGAAGAAGAAGACGGAGATAGCATTGTGGACGACGGAGATTCAACAGATAATCAGCCGGAATGGGGAGTGGATAGCTACGACGAAAGCGGATATTTCTCACCTGATGAAGACTCTTATTCCGACGAAGAAGCTGAACGTAAAGCCCGTCTTTATCGACGGAATCTCCACTTTAGCCATGTTCGTTACATGATCTCCATCCTTCAATTCAGAATTTCAGTTTTTTTTTTTATAATTAATTTGTGGTGAAATTGATTTGGGGGAAAATTAATTAGGGTTTTCTGGTGGAAGAAGGGATCAGGCCACGTCAACTATGGAGTGGCTCAATCGATCTTAATTCTCTGGACAGTGAATACTCTCCGGTTAAAGGAAGGACTCAGCTTCAATACGCACAAGACATGGCCAAATTGTCTCTTCGCAAATACAATGCCTTAAACGTAATTTCAGTTAATCATTCTTTGGTCAATCTTAAGGTACATATGATATCAATTTTGTTTATTCCTTTGTTTTTTTTTTTAAAACAGGATACGGATGTGAAGTTGGATCATGTTGTGAGAGTGACCGAGTCTTTTTGTGGTACATGGACGTCGTACATCACTTTCATGGCGAGAGAGACTGAGGAGGAAGAAGCTACTCTTGTTGAGTATCAAGCCAAGGTTGAGAAGAAATTAAGTCGCAAGTCTTATCCTATCTTTTGCAGGCCAAGTCCCAAGCAAGATCAAGATTTGTAGTCCGAATTGATCATCATCTTTTGCTTTATTTTAAGGCTAGTTTGAATTGATGATTATATATGGTCTTTCTTGCTCCAAATGGATTTCAAATGGATCTCATAGTCAAAGCTACTCAATATAATGGTTTGTGATGTGAAATATGATACATATTGATGTAATAAAGAGTGCAAATCTCATTCGAGAATCATACCTATTGATGTTATAAAGAGTGTAAATCTCATTCTGCTTTAACTATAGGAGAAGTATTTTTTTCAATGTAGGGATGCAAAATATGAGAAGTTACCAGCCAATATTTGTCTCACGTCTCACTCACCAATCGGCAGTTATCTTACCAAATATGCAATCTTGGAAAATGTTTTCAACTTTTCTCTACAAACCACAATTTCTTTTTAAAAAAGAGTAATTTCTTTTGATCTTTCTACATCAACAAATGTAAATATCAAAAGAAAATATGGTTTCTTAAAATAATTTGGATGTTGATACTAGCTATAACTTAGCAATGTTTTTTTCCACTAAGTTTACTTTTTTGATTTCTATGTGCAGCCATTTGGTGATAGTAGCATAATTTTAAGGTATAATATAGCAATTATTGGTGATCCGATCAATCAAAAAGAATATGTTTTAGGTTTCTACGATTAAAATTTAGTTGTCGTGTATTATTAACCAGATTATGATATATATTGTGTTTATTGTTATTATTATAGATACATGTGGTTTAGTTGTTCTCACTCACCTGTAGCAAGTATCTTGCAACAAGGGTAAACTTATCATCTAGTCAGTTATCCTACCTAGATTTGGCACACTATATTTGAAGACACACAGAAGGCAATAAATTTCAATTCAGAAATTTGAATATTCTGATCAATTACATTAGAAAGACTAGACTTCATATTGGCGTGAGTGAATCTGACAACATGATATTATATATAAAAAAACTTATATATACTATAGAGTTTGAGTATTGGAGAGGTTAAATCCTCTTTTTTTCTTTTTCTTTTGCTTGCTCTTTTTTCCTATTTTCATCATAATTGGCTTTTGCAACTCGTTTGTGTGACAAATACAATAGAAAGTTTGAGCCTTTGAGATGTTAAATCCTCCATAAATAGGTATAAGTGTCAGTTTGACAAAAAATACTCAAACATTATTGAAACATTTACAAAGAAAGGTACAACCTTTGTACAAAAAAAAAAATTAGATGAGTGAAGCTAAATGCAAGGAATCAAATCCATTATCTAGTTTCAAGTGGAGTAATGTCTTTACTTGCACATCATCATATGTTTTTAGGCTTAAGGTGGAGCAATGTATAAAAGTTCTCTCAGGGTATATTTTAAATTGTTAATGGTAGGAGAAGTTGGTTGTTAATTATTAGCTTAATCAAGCAAAAGTATAGAAGATAAGGTAAATGTGTTAAATAAGAATGTGAAGTAGAACAAGTTAATGTTTGCATATTCATAGCTAACCGGATTTCAGTATGAGAAAGCCATTAAAAAAAGTTTTGATATTTTATCAAGCTATAGCTACTATAAGTTCAGATCTAGTTAATGTGTGTGAAACAAAAGTGACTGTGAAGTGTGTTTTACCTAGTTAATGTCTTTTTGTAATTGTCTTTATATGATTTTCTAAAATTTGGATATGATATCCAATGTTTTCAAGAGAGCCATGGAGGATGATAAAGAAGCAGAGGGCTTTTTTATGGGAGGAAGCCCCAAAAGTTCCAAGGAAACAATTCTTTGCAATGAATCCAGACATGATCGCAAAACTAGACAAAAAGCTGGAAAATGACCAAGATGGAGCACCGATCCAAGCTTAGCAAGTCCAAGCCCAACAACAGAAAGCAAAATACTGGTATGCTAGCAAAATCATTAACTTAACCGGAAAGCAGTTCCTTTTATTCTCATATCTTTTAACTCTTTTATTTTGATGTGTGTATGGGTAGCCATTTGATGATGGTAGCACAATCGATCAAGATTGGACAACCACAGGCCTTTTTCGTGATTCTATTAACCAACGTGTGGAGGTATTTTCTATACTATTATGATTAGAATTTTTTATCATCCTCCATGGCTCGTATTATGATCATCCTCTATGGCTCTCCTGATTGTTATGATTAGGTCGAAATTTTCTATACTATTATGATTAGAAATTTCTATATAATTATGATTAGAATTTTCTATACTATTATGATTAGAATGTTTCTCCTTCTTCTTTTTCATTCTCATTTTGAAATATGAACATACCAATAAAGCACATCAAACATGTTGGGCTTTTAGATGTGAGTGTCTTCTGTTTATATATTTTTCAATAACGATTTGTGGTTATTTGTCTTTTGCTATTGGTTAGTGAGGTGATTGGCATTCAAGGAACTATTTCACAGTTGATCTTTTGTTGGTTTAAAAAGTCTATCTTCTGCTGGTTTCATATGATATGTAAATTGGTTATCATTTATAGGTTATGTATCTTGAATGTTACTTGGTCATAATTTATACTATAATTAATATTAAGCCCCATATCAAACAAATGTGTAGTTGTTTTGAAATAAGATGTATTAGTGTACTTTTGACCTAATTTGATCAACACAGATCATGCTTTATCAGTTTTATGACATAAGCTATTCTATTTTGGGACCAAAAATTCATTCCAAATTTGAGTAGAACTGATGTTAGGACGAAAAGTACACGTATCAAATTCTGGTAATTAAATTAGCACATATGTAGCAAAATCTTGTTTTTAAAAATTATTGTTAGAGTTGGCTTATTAAAAAGTTTTCTCTAAACTGTTTTATTCGATAAAACAACTCATTACTTAGACAACTTCTGCAATCTCCCTCATGGAAAAGCCTTGGAGAATAAACAAAATTTAAATCAAATAACAGTGAAAGGCTTTTGTCAAAATAACAATTAAACCATGACAAAATTTGAATCAAACTTTCAGAAATCTGTTTAGAGTATTGCCGAACACCTACTTGTTCCCAAATCAACATAAGCAATTTAAGTCAAACCATAAATTTGAATAAAAGCCAAAAGGATCATCATTAGCAGCAGTCGAGAAATCAAGGTGGCTTTGTTTTGAGGACGCAGATAGGAGATCCTGCATTACTAAGTATGTTTCTGAATTTTCAATTAGGCCGCAAGAGTCTCCCTGGCATGCTGCTGTTATGCATGTTGGTGGGGATCTCATGTCCATACCGGGTCTCTATTGAAGTCCGGTTTACACTTGGTTAATGCAGACACATTACAAAAGAAAAGAGACAAATTCGCTTAGAAGAATAAACATTAGGTAAAGAAGAAGGAGAAGAAACGTGTTAAGCAGTAATTGAAGTCCGGTTTACACTTGGTTAACTCTCGGTTCATGCGTTTGTCCGATTGTTTTCTCGCCTGTTAGAATCATCTTGATGCAAATGGGTTACTCTTTTATAATTGGTTATTCTTAGCAAAGATGTTCGAATCCACAAATCTTTAGGATCATGCAAAATCAAAAATTTGGAAGAAAAAAGTAATTTACATCATGCCTATGACACATGTGAGATATATAAAAAGGACCCAACCAAAAAAAAATCTAAGCAACTAACATAATAGGATTGTCATTGGCAAGCCAGTCCTTGAGATGCTTGTGGAGGCACTACTAGAATCAATGACATAGATATCTAAACAAGTTTGAAGCCTGGACAAAAGCTAATCAAAAACTCTAAAAAAAACGCAATCCATATTCAACCTTATAATAATGTGGTTGAAAGGGTTTAGTGTAGGAGCCGGTCTAGAGCAACCGTCAGTAGTAACCATAGCCTAATAGTTTAAGAGAAAGCTGAGAGCAACCTGTTTTGGTTATTAAAGCTTTTGCGTAGGAGCCGGTCTACAGATGATGGGATGCATCTTATGGTCAAGAGTAATCATAGCCTTGGTTTGATACTCAACAAGAGGTCCATCAGGCTTCTCTCTCGCCATGAACGTAATGTACGACTTGGGTCTCGGGCCTCCTCGATAATTTCCTCTCACCAATTCAGCAAACTCCACATTCGAATCCTTGAACCAATCACAATCATAAATGATTCAGATTTAGCTTGCCTATCACGGAGAATGAAAACTGAACAAACACACACACAATAAAGAAAAGGGAAATCAGAACTAGCCTTATCTTGGTTGTGTCTTTGGAGACATACTCAGGCCATCTCTCTACAGTAATCGCGGAAGGTTTTGCGGTTGTTCCCTCCATCCTCGAAACTCACCGGGTTGATTCCCAAGTACCTGTCACTTGGCCTAAGCCCTGGATCCACCTTAAATCCCTAATCACACAAAATCAGTACTTATTCTATTCAGTTCCATGGATTCAGCTCACATTCAAAGCAAAAAGGTCGTACCTTGCTGTCGATGAGCTGGCGTTTATAGATGCGGTAGTGTTCTTTAGCGTTCTCCATGTTTTCATAAGGCTGCTCGTCGGAGGAAAGGTTCGACTCCGGGGATGAATAATACTTTAAATCATCGAAGCTGTCCACATCCCACTCGGGCGGATCTAAGAGCGCTTTCTCAGCCTCGCGCTCCTTGGCTCTGGCTCTTTCAACCCTCGCTTCGTCAATCTCGCCATCGCTCTCCTCCTCCTCCAGGTCGAACTCGGCCTTACGCTTTGTCAGGCAGGAACCGATAACCACTGAAGAAGACGCTTCCATGGGTTCTGCCGCCTCCTCCTCCTCCTCCTCCAATTTGCTGGAATATCCTTTTTTCGTCTTCTCGGCTGAGCATGGTTTAAGGACCACTGAAGATGCTTCCATGGATTCTATGGCTTCCTCCAAGTTGCTCGAATCTCTTTCTGTCCTTGAATTGCCTGCACAAGGTTTGAGAACCATGATGCTACAGTAAAAACCCTAAATGCGGGAAACTGGAAACTAAAATTATCTTCAGACTCCTTTGAGATTTGTAGCATTTCCATCTCTTTTCTTATGTACATTTATTTTTTTACTAGTCCCCGAAAAGAAAATGGGATAAATGGAAGAATACCTTAATGAAGATTTGCTATGTTGCAAGGAAACGGAAAAGGAAACCTTTCGAAATGCGGAAATATTGTTTTTGAAAATATAAGAATGTAAACGTTTATAATATATAACTATTATAAATAGATAATGAAATATTAAACTTCTAAATTTTATAAAAGAAAAAAAAATGTTTAAAACAACTCAAATCCAATAAATAAAATAATAGATAGTTTAACAAAAGATAAAAAAAAGTATACGAAAAAATCAAAATTAATGATTTAGAAAATCATCTTCATCCTCATTTCCATCAGCTACTTCAGTTCCATTAAACACAACTGCTTCCAACTCTGATTCATCAAGAGAAAGATCCTCATACTCCATAGCTATATATTTACGCTTCAATAATCAAATCAAAACGATTATAAGTTCTTAATTTAGAAAAACAACATACCTTTTGGTAGACATATCAAACTGGCCCGGCCCAGTCCGAAACCCATATTGGTTCTTGTATTTTAATTGATTTGGAAATCCAAACCAAATTCAGTGTTATTGGATCTATGATTTTAAAATCCATAGTCAAATTTAGTGTTATTGGTTATATGATTTCAAAATTCATATTCAAATTCAGTGTTATTGGTTCTATGATTTTAAAATCTAAGTATTTTAAGGATTTGGTTTGAAATTAGATTTGAATGGATTTATTAGTGTTTTCATGACTAAAATATAAAGATCCAAATACAGAGTTCAGACCTGTTATTTGGATGGATTTGAGTATTTTCTATATTTTTATTATAAAAATCTGAAACAATACAAACTATACATAAAATAAAAGCTAATAAAAACAATGCAAACGATACATTGTATAGTTGTTGTTAACAATGAGATTACGAAAGAGGAAGAGGAGGAGGAGAATAAGAGCTGGAGATGGCGGCGACTGTGGTTAACGATGGACTGAGACAGAAGTACCGCCATAATGGAACTACACACTTCATCTTCTTCATCGGAGAATTTTTGATGGCTCTCTCTCACTCTGTTGCTGTGATTTTAACAGAGACTGGGTTTTAGCTACAACCCTCTCATTATAATGATAAATCCAAAGAAGTATTTGTTTTGTACTGAAGCTCGATAATCTCTCAAACACATACATTAGGCACATCAAAATTATAATGATAAAACTAATCCAAAACAATGATAAAATTATAATGATAAAATAAAAGTCAATAATATGATAAAAACCATAATCCAAAACAATGCAAACGATATATAAAAAAATAAAAACCCAACATAGTTAACTAATCAATTCATGATATTATGCTTAATCCAAGCATAACGCTCATCAATGGACATGCTAACAAATACATCTTTCATTCCTAATTGGTGAATTACTTTAACTGCATCATAACGAACATGTTCTTCCAAGTCAGAAACTTCTTTGATAGCTTCCCATAAGTTATTCTTCTTGTTCTCTGCTTCTCTTTTCTCTGCTTCTTGTTGTTGTCTTGCTTCTCTCACTTGTATTAGATCGAAGAGTTTATGAGTGATTGTTGTCAAAGCATTCACTTCAGTACAAGCTTCATCTGCAACTTCTGGACAAATTATTGGATCAACTTTGTTAAGAGAATTTCTTTGTCTTTTTCTTACAGGGAGTTTTTCTAAAGTGTCCATTGAACTGCTGCAAAAAAAAGATGATGGTGTTTCATAATCTTCCTCAACATTTATGGAAAACTCTTCACCATCATTGGTTTTCTCTTTTCCAGTTTCTGAAATTCCACATGTTCGAGCATCAGTAGTATTGCCTAATCCAATCGCACTCTTACCCGACGCTACATTCTTTTCAAATATAACTTTTAGATCATCAAAATCTTCAAAAGTTTCTATCACGAAACTTTTTATAATTTGGATGTGCCTAAAACAAAATAAAATAAAGAAGTTAAACATAATGAAAAACGAGTAGACATATTCTTAACGTCTTGTAGATTTTAAAATTTACCTTTATGTAGTCAGCCCACACTTCTTCTGGTGCTGTGAACCGTTTTGTGATTGGATCCCATCCAAACCCAGAACTGAAGCGAAGAATTTCAGCACCACTTTGATATTTTGCTTTCAAAATCCTTATTCTGTTTGCACAGTTTTGATAGATTTTGGTACTTTCATGTGTTTTATTGAGAGTAGGTAGTATTCGTCTCTCTACTGTAAACTTGCTGAATGTACCATTACTATCACGCAAACCCGCAGCAACACATTCTAGGAGTGATTGTATCAAAGTTTTTGTTTCTTGGGGACTCCATTGAGTATACGAACTCATTGCTCGTTCTTGCTGTGATCCTTCCATTGAAATTTATGGTTTTGTATTATAATGTTCTGACTACTAAAACCCATATGTATTATATATATATATATGGTTGTTTGAATTCTTTATGGAAAAGTAAATTGAAAAAGAAAGAAGAAAACTAATGTTTCTCTTCTTCGTCCTTAAACAAATAACTCAATCTTTTTTTTTATGTAAATTTTACATTATGAAAAAGTAAATTTAACCCATTTCAAATTCTTTTCTTAAAAAAAAATGTAAAACTTATGTAAATAAAATATTGAGCTGTATATTTGCAAAAAAAACTCTACTTTTTCATAAAGTAAAATTTACATAAAATTATTTTACTTTTCCATAAAGTAAAATTTACATTACAAAATTGGTTATTTGTAAAATAAAATTGAGTTATTTGTAAAATACTTTACTTTTTTATTAAGTAAAATTTACATAAAGAAATTGGGTTATTTGTTTAAATACGAAGATGAGAAACACCAATTTTCTTCTTCAACGTATAGTTGTTGGTTTTGCTACTCTTCATCTAAAGCAAAGTCTTTAGTAAGTATTTATTTTTCGTACATGGTTTAGTGAGGGTCATCGTATAGATATCTATTTTATTCTCTAGTATAATTGTTCTGTTTATGTAGTATATATATATATAAACAAAGAGTTTAGTGACGCTAGAAATTAAAATCTATCACTTTTTAATGTGTTAGTGCTTATTTTTAATGGGTTAAGTTTTTTTTTTGTTAAAGGTATTAAACATGAATCCAACATTTATTGGAGAAGAAGAAATTCTTGAAGAAAGAGAGAAATATATATCGCAAGAAGATGATGAGTTAGATGCTGATATTACTTTATTGGTGCTCTTAGTTTTCTGTCAGATGATTTGTCTGAGGAAACGACTACAACGACAACGACAACTTCAATTGCAAATTGAACGTCCTATTCGACGTGTCACCACAAGAGCTGGTCAAGACTATATAGAGAGTGTATTAAAGGAAGACCCTCTTCACTTTCGAGAATTATATCGGATGTATCCAGATATTTTTTTGAAGTTATGTGGTCTCATCCGAGAAAGAAAAATTTTAACCGATACAAGATATATTAGCCTTAAAGAAATGGTCGCATCCTTCCTTCTAATAGTTGGCCAAAATTCGAGGTATTGTTATACAAGAAACACTTTTAAAAGATCAAAGTTTGCTATGAGCTACAATTTTCATAAAGTTTTGCGAGCTTTAAATCAAATTTCACCAAGTTTCATGGCTACCGTTGGACCTATTGTGCCTCAAAAGATAAGAGAAAGTACAAGATTTTATCCTTATTTTAAGGTATATATTTTTATTTCTGATTTATATTTTAAAATATCATTTTATTGAGCATAAATTTTATCATATCTTTAGGACTGTGTCGGAGCTATCGATGGTACACATATCTTTGCAATGGTCCCAAAAAAAGAAGCAGGCTCTTTTCGCAACAGAAAAGGTGATATATCGCAAAATGTATTGGCTGCATGTAATTTTGATCTTGAGTTCATATATATGCTTAGTGGACGGGAAGGTTCTGGTCATGACTCAAAGATATTGAATCATACTTTAACAAAGAACAATAATCGATTACCAGTTCCAGAAGGTATGTATAATATATATATTACTTTATTGATTAAGTATCCATTTTATTAATTAGATAAGTAACTATTTTATTATTTTTTCAGAAAAATTTTATCTAGTCGACTGTGGATTTGCAAATCGCAGAAACTTTTTAGCTCCATATCGTGGTGTTCGATATCATCTACAAGAGTTTTCTGGTGAAGATAAAACTCCACAAAATGAAAAGGAGTTGTTTAACCATCGACATGCCTCCTTAAGAAATGTTATCGAGAGAATTTTTGGTATCTTCAAATCTCGATTCCTAATTTTTAAGTCTGCACCTCCTTTTCCCTATAAGACACAGACGGAGATTGTACTTGCGTGTGCTGGTTTACATAACTTTCTTCGGAAGTTTTGTCGATCAGATAATTTTCCAGAAGAAACAAATAGTAGTGATGAAGAAGAAGATCTTGAAGAAGTTAATAATAATAACGAAGAAGTTGGCGAAGAAGTTCTTGTAACCCAGGATCAACAAAGAGAACATGCCAACCAATTGAGAGCAACAATTGCAACAAAGATGTGGGAAGATTTTATACATTCTTAAAAGAATAATAGATTTTTACATTGTTTTTTTGTTTTTTTTTATTACATGCTAATCAAGATTATTATTAAAATCCATTTAATTGGTTTACAAATCCATATATTTGATTTTGAAATCTATTTATTTGATTTTGAAATCCATTTGCCTGATTTTAAAATCAATGAATTTGTATAAATCAAGGTGGATTTCTAAATCTACTGAAATACACGAACCAATAACCCCTTAAGCCCAGCCCGACCCGACCCGATAATATATCAGACCTATATTTTGAAGCCCAACCTGGCCCTAACAGGGTTATCGAGTTTTTTCGGGTTTTTTAGAAAAATAAAATAAATTTTTAAAATAATCATAAATATAGTTTTATCAAATCTGAAAGCAAAACTTTGACTTATGAATTCTAATATCAAATATAATTAAATAAATAAGTAATCTAAATAGTAGAAACCGTAGAAATCGAGATGAAAATCTTCAAGATGAAAATATGAGTGCTTCTTGAAACTAGTTTAGTTTGAACATTGATGTTATATGAAGACACACAACTAAAAATTAAGGTTTTATATTAATAAAAAGTATTATAAAAAAATTAATAACTCTAATTTTTTAAAATTGTAAAGATAATTTATTAATAAAAAATTCTAAATAAAATTATAATATAAAATATAGAGCTTTTCGGGTAAGCCTGAGACCGATCGGGCTTAAGCCCAAATGGGCTTAGCCCGAATGAGTTTAACCCAAAAAATCTGATTTTTGGGCTTTAATACCAAAGTCCAAACCCAGTATTTTTCAGAGCCGGGCCGAACCAGACTTCGGACTTTGGCCCAAATTGACATCCCTACCTTTTGGCTTCAAGCCTTCGACTTTGTCTCTTCTAGGTTTTAGCTTCTAATCCTCTTTTGGTTTCTTAGGAATGTAAGTCGATTACGAAAATTAGGTTTTGAAGTTATTAACTACCAAATATACCATTATATTCTTACTTTTTTATGTATTGTCTTTAAAATATGTTTCCAATACCGTTTCCAAATCGGATACACACGTTTCCACTGCGTTTGCAAATTGAGAATTTCAAGAAACGCATTTCCACTGCGTTTCCGAGCGTTGGAGTTTCCGTGCACGGTAGAAGATTTGTAATACAAGAATTTTTCATTTTTTTGCCAGTTTTAACTAGAAATTACATATTTTAATAAATTAATGTTAAAACCAAATTTATAAATATTATGAATCTATTGGAGATAAAAATATTTGATTATTTTATATTTTGACATTTATAATAGATAAAATCTTGATAGTTGTAAATTTATCATAATTAGAAAAAAATAGTTAAATTGAAAAGTTCACATTGCTCGTGATGGAAAGAGAAAAGTCATTCGAACTTTTAGATCGGTTATCTTGTTCCCATTATAATTATTCAAATTGAATACTTCATTGTGAACCGGAAAAGAAACTCGGTTAAATCTCGGTTCATCGTGTTTGTCGGATCGTTTTCTCGGCTGCTATAGAAGCCTAGAATCATCCTTGATGCAAGTGGGTTACTCTTTACACGGGTATTTATCGTAATTGTTTTTTTTTTTTTCCTAAAAGGATGTTCGAATCCACAATCTTTAAGCTATTGACCTTGTGCCTACCAAACATGTGAGATATATAAAAGGATCCAACAAAATAATCTAAGCAACTCGCATAATAGGACATTGGCATGCACCATTTCTTGAGATGCTTAGAATCCCTTTTACAGCTTCAAACCAAAAACATCTATGACAAAATGCAAATCCAAAAGCAAAGCCATATACTTAGTTGTATGTTGTTTCTAAGGTTTTAGTGTAGGAGCCGGTCTACAGAGGATGGGGTGTCTCATTCCGTCAAGAGTAGCCATAGCCTTGGCTTGATACTCAACAAGAGGTCCAATCTGTCTTCTCCCTCGCCATGAATGTAATGTATGACTTGGATCTCGGTCCACCGCGATAAAGACCTCTCACAACTTCAACGAACTCCACCTTCGGATCCTTGAACCACACAAAACCAAACAATCATAAGCGATTCAGTACTTATATGCACAAGAAAAGGAAAAATGCAACTCGCCTTGTCTTGGTTGTGTTTTTGGAGACAAACATGCACCATCTCTTCCCAGTACTCACGAAAGGTTCTGCCTCGAAGCGCAATCTCGTCCAAACTCATTGGTTTCATTCCTAGGAAGAGATAAAAACGCTTTCGCTCTAGGTCCGCGAAAAATCCCTAACCACACACACACACATTGAACTAAAATTCACCACATACTCAACTCAATTTCATGAATATAGCACATATTCAAACCAATTAAAGATGGTACCTTGCTATCGATTATTTGGCGTTTATCGATGCGATAGTTTTCTACAGCCACATCCTCGTCGGGCAAAGGAGAAGAAAGCTCCTCCTCCGGAGATGAATAATACTTTACATCATCGAAGCTGTCCACATCCCACTCGGGTGCGTCTAATATATCATCTCTTTCAGGCTCAGGCTCAGGCTCGTCATTTTGGGCTTCCTCCTCCTCCGGCTCGAACTCGGCCTTACGCTTTGTCAGTAACGAATCGATAGCCACTGGTGAAGATGATTCCATGGCTTCTGCCGCCTCCTCAACCAGCTTGCTCGAATCTCCTTCTTTCGTCTTCTCGCCTTCCATTAATTCTATCGCTTCCTCAAACTCTTATCTCTCTGCTCCGAGCCAATTGGGAAACTGCGAAACCAAGATCGGGTCTTGAATCCTGCTATGACCTTCCGCCCGAGAAACTTAGCAGATATTTACATAAATGCCATCCTTAGTTTTTAAGTGAACGAATATAATTCTGTCGACATACAGAATTTGATAATTCTTTTGTTTTCCTTTGGTTTTTGTTTCGTCAGGATCACAAAA